ATATATATATATATATATATATATGTATGTATGTATGTATGTATGTATATATATGTATGTATATATATAATATATCCCATCGATCGTTCCTCTTGATAGATGCAGTCGCGATGTAATGTCACGTGCGTGCACGGTGCATCTGCTTGCGTAGACAGCCGTAACCGATCTCGTGTCCCCGAGTATACGAATTATACGTAAGATATATTTGTCAATGACCGAGGAAACTTGGGAAATCAGGTGAAAGTAATATATTATCAGGAGAAAGAAATATTCGAGGAGTGATATTTTTACGGTTCGAAAGATTGGAACCGACCGAACAGATTATTAGAACAGAGCAGAACATTCACAGATACGTGAGCCCTATTGCTGCTGAATTGACACAAATTAATTAATCAGCACGTACACGCGAATCATTTTCGCGTCGATAGAATGCAAGGCACGGTTGTTACCCACTTCGATATGGAAAATTCTAATGAACAGTCTATAGTCGAGACTATATAGATCATCTTATCTAACGTTGGTTCGTGTTCTTTCGTGATGTAAAGCACCCCTTTGATAATACAGTGTTTATCTGTCTTTATCTCGCGCATTATTATACCCTCCATTCATTTATTAACTGTATGCATACGAAATTTGATTCTTTCCACCTTGTTCCTACTTTTAGATTTCAATTATCGGTAACGTGTTGCTTGCATTGTAATAATTCATCCGCAATTCGTTCGACATTTCATTCTTCGATGTTCTTCTATTTTTAAAATAATTCTCTGGATGGCTGGTGTGTCCATTCTTCATAATCGTATTCTTGCATTCGTTATCACAATCTGATAATGGCGTACAAAATTTAGCTTTAACAATGTTTTTATGTACTTGGCATTAATTATAAACTTAATTGAGATTTATATATTATATAAAATTGTTAAATTAATCGATATTTCCAATTGTCAAACTGTCAGCGATGTCCTAGTCTTCACTATCATTTATCTATACTTATCTCAGCCGATACCATCTATATGTATCTGTGAAAGAATTATCAACTATCCTTATCAAATTCGCAGTCGCATCAATACAATTTTTCAATAATTCAGACGATTGCAATTCATTGTTGCAGCTCCACGTTTCGTTTGTTTCTTTTTTTCGACATTCTTCTCGTCAATTTCACTCAACGTAAAGAGAGGAAATTTATATTGAACAAGAATTATATATCTGAAAATTTCAAAGACAGAGTTCAGAGACAGACAACGAAAAAAATTTATAGTTTTACGTATAAGATAAATGTTTGTATTTTAAGCGAGCGATCAAACGAATTCACAACGATCTCGAAACGAATTCTGAAACGTAAGACACGAAAACGCTCAAGGCTGTCGATGCGCAAACAACGCTTTTCCGTGCATCGTGAACGATTTCGCGGATCGATTTCGAGAGGCGTCGCGGCGCTGATCCTTAACACCGTCCCAAAGATCGTCGACTGTTCGTAACTTTAGATTAATACAATTGAAACGCGGCCGTCGATGCGCCTCTCGACGATCGTGCGAGGAATCAACGATGTCCCTTGTGGTCGAATGATCAGGATAAATCGAAACGAAATTCAATTTGTCTGCTGTTCATCAGAAAATTCAACAGCATTTCGAAGCATTTCAACAGAATTATACAGCCACGCGAGAGAAATTGATTTGATTTCAATTTTTAGTGAGACAAACTTTGATAATTATCCCTTTTATCATCAATTCAGTCGCAGACGGTAATCTCAGAGTCACGTTGATCCTACTCCCGTGAATTGAAAAGTACAGGAAAGTGATGATGTCACGAATACGACTTTTGAAACTTTAGGATTTACCATATCACTCTCTATCGACGAATGAATCTATTAAAATTTATGAAACAAATCTTGCGTTGATATCGTGAAATTGACCAACTTCACTCCAAAAGGACTCAGTTATCATGAACCACGCGAAAATAGAAAAAAGGTCTCTTCATTTATCTTCTTAGAATGAACGCACTTGTTTAAATAATTCATTTCTTTCTCAAGAATTAAATATTAATCTTGTGTCTATACTGTATGATTGAGAATTGATAAAAAAAAAAATAGGGATGATTAGCTTTTAAAAGGTTCAATTATCATAAGCTATGCGGTATAAATTAGGAAACTATTGTTTGCAATAGTTAAGTTTTTTAGCAAAGATATTCGCCACGGGGGACATTTTTGGCGTGCTTTAGAGCGCGAATGAGAGAAACACGACGGATGAACGATGCACGTGGCACGTATACGGATCACGAAGTCCGTGCACGCGCGTGCTCGCGTACTCGCGCCTCCTGACGTACGTAACGATCAGTCTTAAGAATATAATTAACGAGAAAAAGTAAACGAATAAACTTGTCGTCGCCATTGTGATTTAAGGTAGTGGAATTGACCCGTGGCTGGTCGCTCAACGTGCAACACCGAACCGGCGTTCCTGTCTATTTATATCATTTATGATAAATTGGTCAATTGACATCAACATCCGGTGATCGTCGTTTGACAAATTCGTGCGTACAGGATGCTTTGTGGCGATATTGATAAAAAAAAAAAAGAAGAAAAAAACATCCATTTAATTAACAGATCCGTTTGAAACGTTGACCAGAAAGATCATTTCAAGGAAACATATAATCTCTGTGACCTGCATTTATTTCCCTGTTGTGTTTCACAAATATAGTAAAACTCGAAGCGATAAAATTACGTTGTTTATATAATTTATTAAAACCCGCTGCGGTGCTTCGAACTTTTTTAATCTTTTCGAAACTTTTCGACGACAGAAAAATCGACAGGAACGCAGCGTGAAAATGAGAATGTATGCTGAATTCTTTCTTCAATTCCAGTGCAAAGGTTATTGAGATGGTCAGAAACTAAAAGTAAAAGTTTTCTCCTTCTTTCTTTAAGAGCCACAAAGTGTCTCGCGCAATGTTGGCGCCCAAGTCGACTTGATTCATATTTACGTTGGATCTGTCTTTCACTATGTTTAATGATTCATGTTCACGAGAGGCCGAGGCGAATACCTTCGTTTCACTTTGAATGAAAAGGAAAGAAAAGACAAAGCGTCGGTCGGTGGTGCATCAGCATTCGAGGACTCTCGGGGCAAAACGTTTACCTGTTTGTATTGCCGGAGTCACTATTTGGCTTTGGCGCGATAAAGTCTTAATAAAGGTTTCATTAAAATATTCACGTTGTATGTCTCGTGTTTCCTTCGTCGTCTGGCGAGTCTCGATAATCACGGCCTTATGCAAATTCTGCTCATTCTCCTTTGGCAATCGCTGGATGCATACATGAATAATATTGTTTTGTTGGAAACGTATATATATCAGCACTCGTAAATATCCTGAAATTAATCGATTATGTGAGCTGCATGATGCGCAAAGTAATGATAAATTGATGATTAGAGACAGCATCTGTCCATTTAATATAAAATCGGATTATAAATTTGAATTGCTTTAAATTGAAAATATATTACAATTATTAGTTGTATGTCATATGAAGAGAATTTTAGCTTTAGTTTCTCAATTGATTTAGAGGAATCTTTTTTATCAATTAATTATCAAAATTACTTAAAATAGTTTAATTTTGAAAAGTATTTTACATATACTGATTCGTGATTCACAGCAGAAATGAGGAAATTTTATAATTCAAAATCAAAAACAACAAAATTGCGTTGAGGACTTAATTCAAAGAAAGAATCGAGATTTCATTCTACGTATAAAACTATTATAAAACTGTTATTTATTTTATATATTAAATTGCATCTTACGAAGAAACACGCATGTATCCGGAAACTTTTAAGCAATAATAGTATATACTTAAAATTGCAGATAAGATCGGAAACATATCGTAGATAAGATCGGAAACATAAAGATTTAATATCTCTTCAATTGTTCAAAAACTCGATAAGATTGTCAACGTTGATGAACATTTATAATATTAGAAGTTTTTAATTATGCAGCAGAAGGACAGTAAACTTCTTTCAATGTGTGATTGTATGCACAAGAGTATGGATAAATCATTTCACTCCAATTTTATACATTGACAGTAATGATAAAAATGATATCAAAATTGTGAAATATTAGTCTCCTACATAAATTATTATTATTATTATTATTATTATTTTCCAGCAGGATTTAATAAACACAGAGCATTGTGTAAGAGTTCAAATTATGGACATTGAAGAAGATTTCAATAATGGTTGCATTGAATTCTCAATGGCAATTATGCGTTACTTTTTAATCGGCGATGTGTTCTTTGAAATATTCGCTATCACTTTTCAATTTATTTTATCTTCAGTTTAAATGTTTAGTAATATACTCTTCAATCAAATGATCAACATGGAGTCCACGAATAAATGGCAAGTACTGTATTGTTGATTGTGAATTTGTCTGACTGGTTAATGAACGTGAGAATCATTACAGTTAATCAATAATATTTGAAACAAAGCTAGTCTTTATCTTTGGTTGGCGCACATAATCGCGTCCAATTGCGTTATGGTTGATAAAAATTATCGACTAACCAGTGATGCTGACAATTGTATGAGTCATTCGTAACCCATTCGTACGATCAGTCAAGTTTGTTTCTTTTAATTTTCATAGGAATGCCTTAAGAAGAAGATCTTAAACAACGTCACTGTGAATATAATATACCTATTCTTCATTTAGCATATGAAGATATTAAAAAAATAATGACAATAAATTTATAATAATACATGGTATGTACGACAATATTACTAACAACTTCTCTAGAACTTGAATATTTCATTGTTATTATCCTTCTTTTTGATCGTAAATTTTTTTCCTGAAGGAGACAAAGAAAGATCAATGCCTTCTCATAAAAGATAAAATATTTTCGAGCGTCTGTTTTCTGACAAATAAACCATGTGACAAATAAATACGCTGGTGAAATCACTTTCCGCACGATTTAGAAATGTATCAAAGATATTAGATACCAGTCTATACCAAATATTAATTCCTATGGATATTAATATCACGATGCAGGAATCTGAAAAAATTGTTGAAGAAAGTTGGATATTAAAATCAAATATCTAAAACTTCTTGAATGTTGAAGTAATTTTAACATTACCTATTGGAATGTAACATCACTTTCAAGTATATAGAGTCGAAGAAAATAACTATCCTTTTAACGGTGTATGAACGATTTTATCAAAGATCCTAAAATACATATAAATCAAAAAAAATATATACGTACATTTATTAATAACAGAGCGATGTAAAATTAAGCCTTGATGAAGAATGCATTTATATCCCGATCAGATTCGTTCGGACGTTTCACTGCCTATACACGTGCGTGTAGAGTATAGAAGCAATGGATTGCCATGGTGGGGATGGAGAAGCGGTCAGTAACGAGAGTAGGGATGCATCGTGCGGCAGTAGCGTGTGTCTCGCGTAGGTTTCAGAGTAGAATGTTAGTGCGGTCGCATGAGTGCTGGGCGAAGCGTTGGAAGTGAACGTGTTCTATTCCATTTATCTTATCGTGTCTGATTCTATCATTCTGCAAACAACAAGAAAGCATTGTTATTCGTCTCTCGTCGAAAGAACGGTTCCAATTCGTCGAGAATCGAGCCGAGAACAAGCCCAGGGAGATGTCAAAGAACGCGAAGAGAAAGGAGAGAAGCTCGACCGCGTGAAGTGTGAGATTCGCCTCTATGTACGTGTGCGTAGCTGTTTTACGCGCGTGTATATTCACTGTTTGTGCGCACAGCACTAACTATTCGGTGTCGGTGTGCGTGTCGTGTGGGCACACACCGTGTGTGTACACCTTTTCAAAGGTGGAAAGAGAAGAGACGGGGGAGAGGAGAGAGATGATGACAGTGGCAACGACTAACAGCCAGGTGGGTCTCTGACCCCACTGGACAATAAAACAGCTTCGTGATTTAACAGTGTTCAGGATTTAAAGCGCGTCGACACACGGAAAACCCTCGGATCGTCGAGAAATTGTTCCCGCCGATACATCCTCGACAAGTTTTGTGGTACGTACCCCTCTTGTTTCTTTATACGATACCTTTCTTTCGACGACAACCGAGAATCAACAAGTAGCTCCGCTGTAGAAAAGTCAGTTAGGTGCGCTTAAGACACGTAGCATGACGAACACCGAGAGGCACTAACTTTTCGGGGTAATGGAGATTTCTCTCAGCCCGATCGTGATAACCTCACTGCATGAAAATCGAAACGGACACCAGTTGAATATCTTTCGTTTGACACGAGGTCCATTGACATACGGTGTACTGCAATAAATGTATTGATTATATACAATAAATATACTAAAATAATAGTGTAAATATATTAAATATGCTAATCGACTAGAATTTGAATGGTTTAGTAAAGATAAATACACAAATACATGTACTACATGATCATGCCTCACTAAAATATAGCTCGATTCAATTTCACTTTTCAGGTATATTAAAAACATCTAAATCTAGGAACAAATCTAGGAATAATTTTTCGTAATATTTTTAAAGTTGCGACCAATGTATTATTTATCAACCTGAATCTACTATATCTATATATACTGTAGATATATACGTAAATGGCATAGATTCTAATTAAATTAGTACGTTAAGAATAATGTTAAAGAATGTAATTATACTTTTATAAAAAAAAAAAGTACCTGCATCTCGGTAATTTTAAAAATGAAAGATTCGACCAATTTGATAATTCGAGTGTTAAAGAAAAAAACATTGATGCGCAGATATGGTAGGTACTCTATAAAAGAATGTTATATCGATAACATAATTGTTATTTTTTTAATAGAAACTGCTAACAGATACGGTTAGCAACAAAGATGCACGTGTACTAAATGTAGGAACATATTGACGTTTTGGCAAATATTTGCCTTTCGAACGAACAGTTGCCAAGTATGCCACTCGGTTGATAGGAGTAATTGGAGCAGCTTTATTATTGACTGTTTGCCTTGCATGTATTTTTGCGTGTTATTTGAATGATACAATGAATGCTACCAAGATCAAATTATCCCGATACGTTCTATCGACGTAACATTCAAATAAAAGAAACCATTACGTTTTAATTTGAATATAAATGGCAATAAACAGGGTATTGACTAGTTACCTTACTTGACAACTAACGCGCGCCGTTTGCATAATTAAATAAAAAAAGCGTTGAATAAATTTCAATGATCATCCATCGGATAATGTTCTCCAACGAGACTGTCTAAATCTGATTCAAGTTGTCACAAACAACAAAGAGCATTTAAAAGATGCAATTATTTTGCATGTGCCTTTTTTACTGTTCAAAATAATCAGTAATCCTGCCGGCTCGATTCAATAATACCGTTAGATTAACAATGGGAATTTCTTCAACGAGAAAGTGGAACGCGCGGATATCAGAAAACTGACTGCGAGCGTTTTTTTTTTTTTTTTTTTTTTTTTCTAAAACTCAACGAAGCCGCTTCGATGGCGTCGGTTTTAGCGCGAAAGACCTTGCTTATTAACGTTATGCAGCAGGAAATTGCGGGCGTTTAGGGAATAACGTGGAATACTTATCATTTTGCAGCGGAGATATTGGTTAATTTTAGAAACACTGATGGATCTGTTGGCACGGCTTTGCCATGATTCACGTTCCGTTCTCGGCTGAGCAGAGGGAACAACGAACCGCTCTCCTTTGTCTGACAATGAGGAACATGGGAATCTAGGTCCAGTCCGTCGATCCATGGATCGGAACTGAGAAAGCATGGAAACGTGACGTTCATGTTGGTTAGTGCAAAAAAACCGGAAACTCGACCTGCGCTCGCTGTCGTTTCGAAGTGACGAATCATTACCAGGAATCAT